TTCATTTCTTCTAGGTTATCCAACTTGTAGGCATATAATTGTTTATGTAGTCTCTTATGATCCTTTATATTCTTGTGATGTAAGTTACTATGTTTTCTCTTTTTTTTGTGATTTTGAGTTTTTCCTCTTTTTTCCTTAGTTGATTGTACCAAAAGTTTGTCAGTTTTGTTTATCTTTTCCTAGAAGCAACTATTAGTTTTATTGATCTTTATTTTGTTCTCTCTTTCATTTATTTTACTCCCTAATCTTTATTATTTTCTTTTTTAACTGATTTCAGGCTTAGTTTGTTATTTTTCTTCTAATTTCTTGAGTTGTAACATTAAATTGCTTATTTGGGATCTTTTTTATCTTTTTGTCACATGCATTTATTGCTATAAACTTCTCTTTTAAAACTGCATTTGCTGTATTCAGTAGTTTTTAGTATGTGTCATTTCTATTTGTTCAACATACTTTTAAATTTCCCTTTTGATTTTCTTTGACTCACTGGTTGTTCAGGAGTGCATGGTTTAATTTCCAGGTTGTGATTTTTTTTTTCAAATTCTGCTTGTTACTGATTTCTAGTTATATACCATTGTGGTCAGAAAAGATATTTTATATGACTTCAGTCTTCTTCTTGTGAAAACGTGCTTTGTCACCTAACATATGATCTATCCTAGAGAATGTTCTGTGTGCACTTGAGAAGTATGTGTATTCTGCTGCTATTGGATAGAATATTTTGTACATGTCTGATATGTCTATTTACTCTATGGTGTTGTTCAAGTCCAAGGTTTTCTTACTGTTTTTCTGTTTGGATTATCCATCCAATGTGAAAAGTGGAGTATTGAAGCTATCTTCTCACATTGTATTCCTATCTTTCCTTTTATTTCTATTAGTATTTGTTTTATACATTAAGGTACTTTAATATTGGGTGCATATATGTTTACAATAATTATATCTTCTTGAATTGACCTCTTTATGATTATTTAATGACCTGCTTTTCCTTTTGTGACAGTTTTGTACTTAGAGTTTATTTTTTTCTCATGTAAGTATAGCCATGCCTATTCTCTTTTGTTTACAATTGTATGGCATATTAATTTTCATCATTTCCCTTTCTGCTTATGTGTGTCCAGAAAGGTACAGTGAGTCATTTTAGGCAGCGTAAAGTTGGATTGAAAAAAATCTATGCAGCTACTTTGTGTCTTTTGATTAGATAACTTAATCTATTAACATTTAATGTGATTTTTGATAGGTAAGAACTTACCACTATTACTTTGTTAAAAATTTTTTGGTCTGAGTCCATGGGGACAGTCCTGTATCCCAGTTGCACAGTGGTTAGCCTGGAACTTAGGTGGGTCTGAAGCCTGAGTTGGTAGAGGTTAGTCATGATCCTGGGGCTAGTTTGGCACTAGATTGGCCTGGAGCCTGTCTTCATATGGTGACTGGTCTGGATCTGGGTTGATAGATGTTGGCCCTCACACTGGGGAGGGCTTGAAGGCTGAGTCTTGCAGTATCAGCCTGGAGTCTGGAGCTGCAGAGCTTGGGCTGGCCTATGAAAGTCTTGGAGGCTGGAGCCATGGGGACTTGCCTGAAGCCTCTGGTTGCTGTGCTTTGCCTGGGCTTGAAGTCTAGGGTACAGGGACTGGTCTGGACCCTAAGGCCACAGAGGTTGACCTGGACCTAGAGCCGGTCTGAAGCTTATGGTGGGTCTGGAGCCTGAGTCCTCAGGTACTTCCCTAAAGCTTGGGGCTGTTGGGGATACCCTCATACTAGGGCAGGCATGGAGCCTGAGAATGCAGGGATTAACCTTGTAGAGGGATGGGTCTGGATTCTGATACTGCAGTGGCCTGAATGGAGTTTGGGACTATGGAGTCATGCTTGGGTTGAGTGAGACAGGCCTGGTGCTGCAGTCCAGTGAAGAATTGAGTGCTTATTTTATTCTTTCCTGACTTGGGGTTATCTTACTCAGTGTTGTGCTGCTTGGGCTTGCGGGAGGGTTAATATGGATAATGTTAAACTGGCTTTCCTACCCTCTTCAATGCATTTGTCTTTTCTTTTGGACTACAGTAAGGTGGTGTAATCTCTTTCCTGGATTCCTTAGCTCTTGGGAAAGTATTTTCATGCATGGTATTTTTTCAAATGGATGTTTCTGTGAGAGATGAGCACTAGAAAGTCGTATTCCACTATCTTCCTAGCATCACTCCTCTAGAGTTTTTTTTTTTTAAATCCAGATACATGGAATTTTCAGTAGAATTTTATTTGTTTATTATTTATTTTTGACTTAATTGTATTGTCATGAGGACTCATTGTATGATACTATTTTTAGGAATTTGTTGCAGTTTTCTTCATTTGCTAATGATAAGTGTTATAAATGATTTATAGGTTTTGGTTTTTAAAAACAAAGAATTGATGAACATAGAAGTTAGGCTAATGGTTACTTCTGGTAGGAAGAGTCAGTAAGATAGGTTAAGGGAGCAACCCACAGATTGATACAAGTGGTAGTATTAGAAATCTAGTCCTTAAATACGATGGTTTAATTATCCCATTGTATAAATTATTAATAGTTTTATAAGCAGAAAATATACATGCCATTTAAAAATCTCCACCATAATCTTTTGTCTTCATAAAAATAATAAGCAATATTTACCTTTTTCCAGATTTTTTAAATATATAGATGTAATTTATATGATGCCCAAGCAAAACATAGGGTATAATCAAAACACAATACTTTTCTCTGTCATTGACATTTTAAAATGTATTCAGTGCAATATATTTTTCCCTGATCTTATATGAAATCTCAGACTCATTCTTAGTCAATTTAAGGAACTCCAGAGAATTTAATTTGCAAACAAATTGTAAGTAAATAATTAAAATTTTTTAGATCAGATAAAAGTAAGAACTCTGAATATATTTTGAAGCCAAATTTTCTCTTTCCTCTATTCTATATGCTATTTCTTTCTTAACCTAGGATTTTCCTCCTTTCCTGGCTTGATAATTTTTTTGATCTTTCTAGGAGAGAGGAGAAAATTACATAGTCTTTTGTGTGAAGAACAGTTGTTATATTTAGTTAAGGCTCTCCATGGGAAAGATGCACAGTGGCTGATCCATTCTCACACAGGTGTCTTTCGGGGCTCTTTTGAGTTTTGACCTTCCTAAACGCAATTTTTGTGATGTATGGGAGACACATACTTTCTTCCTGTTCTGGCAACTTTTATTTCAGTTTTCAGTTGAAGTCCTCCAGTGCCTCCAGGAAATCCTTTAGGTCAGAATATTAAGTAGATGCTGGCTAGCTGGAAGAAACATGCATTCCTTTTTCTGACTTTAGTGTTAGTACAAATACTTCCTAAAAGTAACTGTTTCTATTTGTCCTGCCACCTCAGTAAAATAGCCATAGCTGTTCACATCTGGATAATTCAGAATTTCCTCTAATGTACCACCTGGATTTTAAGGGGACCCACAGCAGGCTCTTCAAAAAAGCCTCTGTGAAGTCCCACTCATTAGGCTTGTGTAAGAGGATAGGCAGCCACTCCCCTGGGAGCCAGAAGACTGGATTACTAACACTGAAATGGGCTTTCACTCTTTCTAACTCTTTTATTGATTCCATCTAGTTCAAAGATTACTAGTTTTGAATGATTGTTTTAGTTTCTCCTTTTGAAAATGTTCATAAGTGGTCTTATACTTCACGTAGGTATATATATCTATTTTCTTTCTGATACTCAGTTGAACTGGAGATATGATTATCTGGCTACATTTGCTTCCATTTATTAATTCATTAGCATACATGTTAGAGTTACTATGAATATTGTAAGAAAAATAATGAAAAAGTTGAACATTGGGAGATTTTTACTCATTCACTTAATTTTATGTGTATACATTTCAGGAAAAGACCATATTATTTTATTTTTGTCAAGAGAATGGTTAAGCTAACTGGTAGTGTACAAGAATACCAATAGTTCTCATTAGGCATTTTTGAAAAGCTTAGTTGCTTTAGAGTGTATTATTGGATTGGAAAATCAATTGTATCCTAGAAATACTGAAGGCAAAGATATCTGCTGTGTGATTACATTGATGTCAGTAAGAGAAAGTGGATGACAATACTTTGTGGTGGCTATTAGAATGAAAAGGGGGGTCAGATACAAGAGATGTTATACATGTAGAAATTAAAATTTACCAATTGATTGGATGTTGGACACAACACTTTAGTGTGAGGATAATGTCCTAAATAACTGAACAGTGCTCGTTAAGAAAGTATTGCAAAGGAAGAAAATGAGACAAGTTTATATGAACCAAATTAATGCTGCAACTTTTACAAAATGGAAAGTTTCATCTAGTACTCTAAAAGGATGATCTAAAAGGATATTCTAAAAGGATGAGGATAATCTCAGAAGCTAAGGGTGAATTTAGAGGAAATAAATAGATGTTCTTTTTTAAAACATAATTTATAGCTATATTCTTATTGTTAGCAATAGTAATAATAGTAGAAGTAATATCTGCCAATTATTAAGTGCTCAATATGTGTTAGGTATCTTAAATTACATTACCTCATTTAATTTTCACATCTATCCTGAAAGCTAAGTGCTATTATTCTTCTTTTGCAGATGAAGAAATTAAGCATAAAGAGGTTAAGTATATTTATCCAAGGTCATATAGTAATTTTAGATGTAAATTTTGAAGCTAAGGTGTTTGAATTCAAAGCTCTTAGACTAACTCTTTGAAACTCATTTCATTAAAGATATATCCAAAGTAAAAATGGAGAGAAGCCCAAAGAATAATTAGATAAATACCTAGATCCACAGTAGACTTCAGGATATCCCCCAAAGACTTTAAGGAATCTCACAAAATTTTCAGAAAAGTGAATTTACTTCCCTTTAATTAAAATAATTTATAATATCTGGTAACCTTAGTTTTTAGATGGCAAGAGGAAGTAACAGGACATAAAAATAAGGCAATAATAATACTTGAAGTGTGAAATGTGTATGTTTGTGATGTAGCATATTCAACATCATTTTGGTTTTGACTTACAGCTTGTACGTGCAGTGGCCATGCAAATATTTGTCATCTGCACACAGGAAAATGTTTCTGCACAACTAAGGGAATAAAAGGAGACCAATGCCAATTGTAAGTAAGAATGACTTTTTAGAACTTTTGTGAATTGAATTTGTGTTGTAGAACTAATATTTATGTTTTACTTTTTAATTTAGTGTTGTGTTAAGCATACATTTATTAAAAATTTAAACTTTTATTTTAGATTAGAGGGGACATGTGCAGGTTTGTAACACGGGTTTATTGCATGATGCTGAGGTTTGGGGTATTATTGATCCCATCTTCTGGATGTTGTGCATAGTACCCAATAGATAATTTTCAAGCATTTTCTCCCTTTCCTGCCTCTCTCGCTCTGGTAGTTCCCCGTGTCTGTTGTTCCCATCTTTATGTCTATTTGTACCAATATTTAGCTCCCACTTATAACCAAAAACATGGTATTTGGCTTTCTGTTCCTATATTTGCTTAGGTTAATGTATCCATGTTGTTGCAAAGGATATGATTTCATTTTTTTCTGGCTGTGTAGTATTTCATGGTGTATATGGACCACATTTTCTATATCCAGTCTACCGTTGATGGGCATTTAGGTTGATTCCATGTCCTTGCTATTGTGACTAATTCTGCAGTGAGCATATAGGTGCATGTGTGTTTTTGGTAGAATGATTTATTTTCCTTTGGATATATGCCAAGTAATGGGAATTTACTTGCATCTAATGAATTCTCTTTAAAAATTAAACCTTTTAAATAACGATTTTGTGGAGGCTTTAAAACAACTCCATAGAGCATGTTTATCTTTTGCATTTCTAGAAAAGGAAGCTTTCTTAATTTTATATATCAAATCTTATTGTTATAGTTAGACTTTTCTTTCATATTATACCTAATGCAATGTCTCTGTGCCCTTCTTTTACAGTCATTCATTATTAATTCTGATAATTCTTGTCCTTTCACCCTTTCAGCTGGTTCCTTATATTCATCTTCCTCTGTTTTCTCTGCTCTTTCAGTATGCAGGAAACCACTATTGCTACTCTTCTCTCTGTATTTTCATGAATGATTTTTGTCTTATCATTTAGTTGTTACTCTAAAATTGTATTTTGCTTCAAAAATTAACTTTAAAAGGCAACATTTTAGGATATTTAAATTGTTTTTTTTCTTTCTTTTTCTTCTTTATGTGTATTATTAAAATCAAATTTTTATGGTTTTGAATTATATACATGCAGATACATGTGTATATTAGGTATTTAGGTACTATATTTGATACAAATAATAAATTCCAACTATAATAATTATAGAAACATAGGGAAAGGTTAAAAAAGCATTCTTCAAATTTATAAATATATAGAAATTTATACCTAAAGTCTAGTAAGCATGGAAAATGATCCTTTTATTTTTATTTAAATATATTACTTGTTGCAGAATTACCCTAAATATTTCAAGTTAGGTGATTGTGTCTTTGCCTAGCCACCTAAGCATTAGGTGATTTTCAATTTCAGAGAAGATAAGCACAAGTTTTTATTCCTTCTTCTTAGTCTCTGAAGTTAAATACAAGTTCAGAGCAAAAGATCTTGGAGAAAATCCTATTAAGGAAGGCCATTTTGGTCTTAAAACCAATGGAATTAAATCATAATCTTCTATTCTAAGATTAAGGATGCCTCTAATACTTTGCAACACTAAAGCTTGATTATAAGTAAGGTCAACTCCATGGGGATGTGGCCTGTGAATTTATACAGGTTCCCACACTTAACAAGGGCAATACACTTGGTTTAATGCTCTGCTATCACTGTCTTGAAATGCTTAATAACTTTTAAACCATAACTATGCATTCTTCTTTCACACAATCCTCTCCTATTCCCTCAAATTATATATTAATAGCAGGATCTGGTTTTACATAATGTTGTTTCTCTTGATTAACTTCTATTAAATATGTTTGTTGGATAGCAGTATGCAGCAATGAAAATATTTTCTAGAGACCACAATGGTAGTATTACAGATAAAAATAATATATGAGATTCTACCATGATAGTACATATTGGAAATGTTTTAGTATAGTTTTATACAAATAGTATAGCCATATACCTATCCATAATTATATCTGTGATACAATATTGCAGTAACATATTTTGTTTACAGACAGGAGAAAGCAGGATTTTAATTCACTGAAATAGTGAGCTTGTAAGCTTAGCTAAAATACAGTTACAAGATTTGGATGCTCACAAAATATTAGAAAATAAATTATATAGTTCTGAATTATAAAAGTACATTTTCCCCTTCTCATTTATGGTTTATGAGGAGGATAAGAAAGGAATATTAATTTGTAAAAAGTATTTTTTAGGTAGTATTTGTAGACAGAATTCCATGCATTTATGTATTTGTTTGTTTATCTTTTGAGTATGGAGCAATAAAGAATAGGCTCATAATTCTTAGAGCAATTAATTGCTATAGTGTGCTTATACCTGAAAAAAATAGTTTGTTAGGAAAGAGAGCTTGTCATTCAGATCAGTAAACAATTGTTAAATTAGTACTTGATGATACTAATGAAGATGAATATCATATTGTTTTTGCTGAAAGTAACTCAGGCTAGCAGTGGAGACACTGACCAAAATAGAGTATACTAATTTCTTACCTTAGTGATTTGATATGCTTATGAACCCCTTCCACTTCTTAGGATTATTTCTGTTTGGTTTTAAGTATTTAGTCAGATATCATTCTTCTTATGTATTCTTAATGACCGTCCTAAACTGAAATTGGTTCTCTTCATATCTGTTAATTTCTTTTCTTGAATTATTTGTGTAGTTGTCTGTATCCATTACTAGAGTGAACTTTTGGGAAGACCATTGCAACAGTACCAGAATGTAAGTGTTCAATAAATTTATTTAGAATGGAATGAAGAAAATATTGATGGAGCACTGAAAAGGGAGTTATTAATTTATTTTGGAGGGATAAGGAAAATTTGAGCAGAGGATGTTTGAGCTGGAAATTGAAGAATAAAATCAACTCTCTGGAAAAAGAAAATAGGGAACAAAGGGAAACAGCATCAGTCAAAGAAAAGAAGTCAAAATGAACATGGTCATAGCATTTCCAGTCTTTGCTCAAGAATGTTGAGAGCTGGAAAAATATTGCTTCTTCTCTTATAATAAAAGGAAAAAAAAAGGTGGATAAACCGCAAATTCATGAATCTTCTTGAAACCATTGTAACTGAGAAAACAGGGTAACCAACTGGCTACAAATATAAAGAGAGACAAGAGACACAGAGAGATGAGACATGAATATTGGCTTACCTGAAATGAAATCATCTGGAGACTAATAAAAGGGGATCAGTTAGTGGTTGATATTTATCAGGGATTAGGTATACACTATCAATAGGGTGAAGCTCCTGGGAGCCACAGAAACTGGTGGAGAGCATTCTCCTTGTAGAATTTGCAAGCCACCTATTATGGTTGCCATTCTTTTCCACCAGTTGCTCAGGGAGAAAAATGAAGAACATTTCAAGAGAGCATTCCCTGTGCTGTAGGCTTATGGAAGGGATTGGCAGCCACAGTAGGAAAGGGCATCAGTAGTACAGTAAAAATATTCATTTAAATTGAGCACCAAATTATTCATCTTGCCATTGTAATGGCAGTTCTCAATCTGGTTTTGGTCCAGACCATAGCTGATAATCAAAAATTGTAACTTAAAAATGAATTTCCATTTGTTTGTGTCATCTCTGATTTTTTTTTGAGCAGTGGTTTGTAGTTTTCTTTGCAGGGATCTTTCAGTTGCCTGCGTGTTTTATTTGACATACAGAGTTGTGTGGCAACTATGAATGGAAGTTTTTTCCAGATTTGGCTCTCAGCTTGACTGTTGTTGGTGTATAGGAATGCTATTGATTTTTGCACATTGTATCCTGAGTCTTTGCTGAAGTTGTTGATCAGCTGCAGAAGTTTTTGAGCTGGTTGTGGGGTTTTCTAGATATAGGATCGTGTTGTCTGTAAACAGGGATTCTTTGATTTCCTCTTTTTTTATTTGGAGGACCTTTGTTTATTTCTTTTGCCCAGTTGCCCTGACCAGAACTTCAGATACTATGTTGAATAGAAGTGGTGAGAGAGGGCATCCTTGTCTTGTGCTGGTTTTCAAGGAGAATGCTTCCAACTTTTGTGTGTTCCATATGATGTTGGCTGTGCGTTTGTCATAGATGGCTCTTATTATTTTCAGGTATGTTACTTCAATACCTAATTTACTGAAAGTTTTTAACATGTATGTCATTCATAAAAAGCCCTTTCTGCATCTATTGAGATATTCATGTGCTTTTTGTCTTTAGTTCTGTTTATGTTATGAATCACATTTATTGATTTGTTATGTTGAACCAACCTTGCATCCCAGGGATAAAGCCTACTTGATCATGGTGGATACACTTTTCGATGTCCTGCTGAATTGTTTGCCAGTGTTTTTTTGAAGATTTTTGTATCAGTGTTCATTGATGAGAAAATTTCAGGTGGATATCCTGTCTCTTCCAGGTTGTTCTGTCTCTTCCAGGTTTTGGTATCAAGATGATAATGCCTTATAGAATGAGTTAGGGAGAAGTCCCTTCTCAATATTTTAGATTAGTTCAGTAGAAGCAGTACCATCTCTTCTTTGTATATCTGGTAGAATTCAGCTGTGAACCATCATGTCCTGAGTTTCCTTGGTTGGTAGACTATTTATTACTGCCTCAATTTCAGACCTGATTATTGGTCCATTCATCAATTCTATTTCATCCTGGTTCAATCTTGGGAGGGTATGTGTATCCAGAAATTTATCCTTTTTTTTTTTTAAGATTTTCTAGTTTGTGTGCGTAGAGGTATTCATAATATTCTCTCATGATTGTTTGTATTTCTGTGAGGTCAGTGGGAATATCCTTGTTGTTTCTGATTGTGTTTATTTGAATCTTCTCTCTTTTCTCCTTCATTAGTCTAGCTAGTGGTGTATGGGTTTTATTATTTTCTTCAAAAAACCAGCTCTTGGATTCATTGATCTCTCTCTCTCTCTCTCTCTCTCTCTCTCTCTCTCTGTGTGTGTCTCTCTCTCTCTCTCTCTCTCTCTCTGTGTGTGTGTGTGTGTGTGTG